TCATGATGGCATTCAATATGAAGGCATTGCCAAGCTGCCCACAACATCCATGGATGACCTCAGTTAAGCCTACAATGACAATATCTGTACTGGCACAATCCCATAAATCTGGCCGCATTGCTACTTGACACAGCTAGAAAAACCTGGCAAAGATGCCACGCACATAAAGGGCTGTATGATCATTACTATGCAGAACACACTAGCTACACTTAAAGACGTAACACACATCTCAAAACCATACCGAAGGAAAGAGAAGCAAAAGGGAGACAACGACACATCCTGGAGGACAATGTTAAGAGATGGACTTACAGAGTCTGAAAGAGCATACTTCCAAGACAAGAGACAGAGTGTGTTCTGGAGATCCATTGCCACTAACCGCCATTGCGGAGACGACACTGATAGATAGATTGATTGATTGATTGTACTTGTGGAAGAGCAGAACGGTTGGATCTCGTAAATCTTGAACTAAGATCTAGTTGGTGTGAGCTTTACGCGTGTGTATATATATATATATAAATGTATATATATGTGTGTATAGGGTGGGGCGCTTAATATCTGTTCACCCCGCCCCCCCCCCCGCCCCAACAACAAAAACCTGTAACATTTATAGCTTAGGCTGTTATATAACATGAATATTGTATTCTCGGTCTCTTTGGCGGCGCTGTCAAGTCGTTTGAAGCGCATGTGCGTATTTTCGGTCTCGTTGACGGCGCTGTCAAGTCGCTTGAAGCGCATGTGCGTATTTTCGGTCTCGTTGACGGCGCTGTCAAGTCGTTTGAAGCGCATGTGCGTATTTTCGGGCTCGTTGGCGGCGCTGTCAAGTCGTTTGAAGCTCATGTGCGTATTCTCGGTCCAAAGTTTCTGCTGATTAACAAAAATCTTCAGGATATCTTAGAGTAAGGTCGCTAGAGCTGTGGTGTTCGAGCTCCAGTGTTGTATTCTCGGTTTATACAGCGAATCAACATCATGGCACAAGGTTAGCAACCCATAAGTGTTCCGTTCTACTTCTAACTCAAGTCTGAGTCTGAAGATTCGCAGCGCTGTGCACGAACTCCGTAGCACCGGCGAGGATCCGGAAATACTTGGGCAGTTTTTTAATCCCAGCGCAGTTAGGGTACTCTTTTTCGATTTTTAACTCACAAGGGACATTTTACGTGCGCAAAAATACACATTGGCGTCTGATCTCGCTACCCAGAGACCAGATGAAATTACTAGAAGTCCACGTGAAAAAATATCAGCCTTCACCGGGGTTTGAACCTGGGAACTGCAGTTCTCAAGGCGGACGCCATTCCTCGAGACCACTCATCCCCTCTGTTTTTGTGGTTTTCAACAAATGACCAATCGTTCTGTGAGGAGCTGCCGAACCAGCTAGAATAAAACTAATACAAATAAAAAGAACCGTTGACCTAGCTCTACACAATGTTTATCATTTTCAACAAGATTCATGTTCAAATGCACCGATTTTCTTCTTTGGTAGCGATGACCCGGTCATGCAATCAAAATGTTACCTTACAGCAGAAGATTTAACTTTATGAACTTGCCAGCAAGATGCTAAAAATGTCCAAAGTATGGGCAGAAAAACATGGAAGCCAGCTCAGTACAATAGGATTCTCTGTGGTCTCGTTCAGAAACTATAGACCCACAACAACAAACATGTCTGTCCTGTCAAGGCCTCACAACACGAGAAAATACTGAAGTGCCGAATAAGAAAACAAAGAGGCACAAACGTGCAGGAATGGCCACCGATTTACAGAAACCTGCCTAGTTTCGCCATCAATTTTCCCTCCTTATTTATCAACCCTACACAGAAACAACGATACAAATGTAGGAAGTAGATTTTTTGAATCTCCCTAAATAAAAACAGAAAGACCGCATTGTTTCAGGATTGTGTATATTTCTTCAAGAAATAAACTAAACTAAATGAAGCCATCCCTAAAATGCGGGGAATACAAAGTTTTAAAAAAAAACAACGCTTTAAGAATTTGACCAAGTTGGTGCAGTAAGAACGGACACTGGAGACAGAGGCAAGACGGAGTTTAAACATGCAGTTAAACAAACAAGACCAGAATTGTAGGGACGGTTTTGCTAATTTGGGTTTGTGTGCGGTGATTTCTTCTGTGGCCATTGTTTTGTTGTCCACTATTGCTCCATGCTCCAAACTTTGGTTCTATTTCTTGTCTGGGAACAATAATGAAATCACGTGGCTGGAGGAGATGGGTTTAAAAGCTGCAGCTCTGGGATATGGCGATATTGTTTCGAGAACTGTCAGGGAGACAAAAGCACAAGACTGGAGGCTTATTTAGAAGGAAAATCATTACAAGAACGACTCTCGGGGATTCTGTTGTGTGACCTCTTGGTAGGTTGTCAATGCAAGTGTCTTTAACAAATTTATTAGTGATGAATAACTTTTACCGAATTTTTTTTTTTTTAAAAGGTGTTCTAGTCTTTACAAAATAATTAATTTTAACGAAACGTGTTCTTTCATTGCATGATCACTATGAATGTTCATAGGGATGCAGTACACACTATGATTATTATCATAATTCTATAAAATTTACCCTCGGAATATATTAAACACAGACTATATTCCCGCAAACTGTTACAATTAATACTTTACACACTATATGCTAAATTAAAATAACTGAAAGTTATCCGCAATCATAAATACGGAAATAGACAAGAACTATATATATATATATATATATATATATATATATATATATATATATATATATATATATATATATATATATATATATACTAGATGTAATTGCCCGGCTTCGCCCCGGATAGTGAAGGAATGTCTTATTGTCCCGTCCTCTACCTCATTTTGGTTTCCACTGATGTCCTACACTAAAACCCTCTATTTCAAATCCAAGGGACTAAAACATTTATTTCATTCAATCTCCGCCTGACTGATGCAAATAGGGTTTAAGTAACATCCGCTTAGTTCTGGGTTGTTAACTGGCATCATAGCACTCGGCACATGCTCACAAGTGTTCCATCTCCTTCATCAGGAGCCAGCACAAAGTTTCAAACCCATTGGCCTCAGTGGCAGTCTGACTTTATGTTCGCCTTGTCTTCCCTTTGAGTGTCCGCCTGATCCTCTTTTCACTTCCTATTCCATCATTCTCTTCAGATCGTGTTGATTCACGTGAGCCTCCGCGGTGTTAATCTTGGCCTCACATGTTATCATAGTATCGGAGTCGCTAAGCATGCTGGCGATTTAGAGTCAGGTCTTTTTTTTCCGGATCGAATGGGGTCGCATCAATCCACGAGGTCGCCGGTAGTCGAGTCGCATGGAAGTTATTCCCGAGCTGTGTAGGTGTGCTTAGGAATAAGCAGGCAGATGTGTTGGCTGGACTGGTCCCACTTGGGGTGTACTGTAAGTGCACAAGGCAGAAGTGATCTCATGGCTGTGGCCAAGGTAACAAGTAAAAGGGAAGATATCGAAAACCCTTAACTGGAGAGAATTAGGCAGCAGGGAGTGTCTGGGCGCCACTAGATACTGGGGGGGGGGGGCGCTGGGGTGACAAGACGAGTTGTTAACCAGGTGACAACTGGTAATACCACTATGGAAACTCTTTGTTAGCTGTTGTTGAGGGAGTCGGAGGTAATACGGGCCTGCCCTGAATGGACTGATGTTTGATCTTTACCCAGATGAACCCAGGGTCACGCTGATCGGTACTGAAGGAGCCCGTTATGAGATTTAATACAAAATTCTTAGCCGTCTCCACGATGAAGGTTGGGTGTAGTTTACCCATTGCTGTTTTGGGGAATTTCACACGGTAAGGCCCCATTCTCCTTCACGGTGTGACTCTCGTTCTGCTGTTTGGGAAACCACTAGAATGGTTTTGTTTTTTAATAAATCGCTGACAGCGAAAATGGAACCAAAGAACTAGAGGATCAAGAGATTCCTACACGCATGCGCTGACCTCTAAGCCAACAACTATACACCAAGGTATTGCCGGTTTGGCCTGTTGTAGTCCCAGCCAGTTGTGTCTTCAGCACGTTTCACACACACTGTATTTACACTCGAGATGAACTAATGTGGAGACTGTCATTACGTAACTATGGCACACACTGAGTTAAAGTCACAAGGGGAATAGAAGAGAATAAGATAACAGAAGGATTGCATTACAGAAGACAAGAAACCTCTACTTTTTCATGGTTATCAATGAACGCATGGTAAGTTTTATTCGCATCGGAAGAGTTAAAGGCTTGACTGTTACATATAAACCTCTAAATACCACCTATAAATTGAGTAATAACGCTTAAAAAGCTAGCGGCAAACCTTTGGAGACTTTCTCCTCGGTGAGCGGAGTAAATTAATAAAGGAAAAGTACAGTTACAGTCAGAGTTAGAGTTAGTCACTGCCGCTTGTAATCTCTCTTTACCCTTTGCTCTCTCGCTTTCGACTTTTCCCTCCAAAAGGATTTTTAAGAGAGGTATGTCTTTAAACGTCGGCTCTGTGGCTAAGTCGATGCGAACGCTTTGTACACAGTAGGTTGATGATGTTGACCACATCACTCACGGAGTACCGAGTGAGTCTAGTATCACATACCAGATGCACCACTAGCCCACAAAAGATATAAAACCGAACGAAAAGTATACAAGCTAGCTTCACAATATAACAAATACAAACAAAACGTGAACGTTGCAGCTATTGAGCATTCATCAGCACATACAAATGAAACAATACTACACAGAAACACAAAATCACTTAGCTGGTATCTCGAAGCAGCCGGGTCGGTTGTTTCTTAGCAGAATGGGTCCACAAAAGATCATTTCCGTTTTGTGTTGTTTTGAATTTCTCTTAATGTCATTTTTTGTTTTCGTTCCTCAGATAGACTCAATCTTCTGTGCTGCCCTTAGTTGTAACGTTATCGGGAAAGTCCGTGAGGCGACCACAGTAAAAGGCTGAACTGGTTGGTATGTTGTTGCAGCCCCACGAACTGGTGTGTTGTTGCAGCCCCACGATTACATTCCCCCGCGCTAAGATGCTCCTGGCGTCAGCAGTCATGGGTGTCTTACTGACAGCGGCGACACAGGTGCTAGGTCACGGGCGGCTCATGGATCCCCCAGCCAGAAACAGCATGTGGAGACTGGGGTTCCCCAACCCTGTTAACTACAACGACAACGAGCTGTACTGTGGCGGGAGAATTGTAAGTACTCAGTGTGTCATCTTGTAGTCTTTTTTGGTGCCAGTCGGGATATGACGCCAGGATCGGCGACCACCACTCTTCTATTCTCTCTGCCTTCTGACATTGTGAGAAAATTAAAAGAGGGAGGTGGATGGAGGGGGGGTTGGGGTCTTCGCGGCAAAGTGGTCAAGCTATTTGCCCTGCGCACTGAAGGCTGTGGGTTCGTTTCACGGCGGTGCCGTTCACTTCACAAGCGCAATTTTTACGGAGATCCCTGGAGATCGTCGCCGGAGTTACGGGGGTCGTGCTCTATGATACTCTTGGCAGACAGCTAGCTGTTCTGCGGAGAGAGACCGAGCCATATGGGATAAAACCCAGTCCAATAAAGTCTATCCTATCACCTTTACCTTTGATGAAGTTACTTTGACTTTCATTGTCGGCATCTGTGGCTTAGGCGTTGCCAATCCGCTTAGTATTTCTGAGGTGCCGGGTTCGAACCCAGCTGCGGGGCATTTGGCAGTAAACCGCCCTGCGTTGGTTTCGACACTGATATCAAGAACCAGCCGTTCAGTTTTGACAAACTACACAACGTGAAATCGCCTGGTAAAGTAGCAAACAGCCAAACCATTCTGACGTTGCTTCTACAGCGACCTGTAAACAGAGTTGCCATACTGGCGTATTTTCGGTTGTAGTTTGGCTTAAAATGAAGTTTTTTTTAAAAATCTGGTAACCCTGTAAAGGATACATAACTAACTACTGTTGGTTATTTTATTATTTGTTGTATCAAATAAACTATTTTTTTTTTCACGCCAGTGTCGCGTGGTGTTATGCCCACACTTTGTATTGAACAATCAGTACCCAATGGATGATGTGGTCAACGTCATAAAGGCCGCCTTTACTTCCTAACATGGCTCAGGTTAACCATTAAACCCATATCGAGGTGGATTTGAAGTCACTAGTTGCTAAGGAGTTCGTGCATTGTGTTGGACTTCTCCACATAGGATGAGTAGGAAGTGTGGCCCATGATGACGTGACTGGACTGCAGGTTACTTGGTCACCGTGTCTGCCCCAGTATAAGTGTGCTGTGTGGTTAAATGTCTGAGCGGGGTTTCCGGAATTTATGGCCGTGTGATTCTCATCCTTGAGACGTTCATCTGACAGACTACATCACGCCGGCCGCCTTTATTTCCCTTGGTCTTACCTGTTATTCAGTGCTGGGTCGACATGGTTACAACCGACACAGAGGGCATACGAACTCATTACTTTCAAGCGTGCGTCTAGGCATCGCAGAGGGCGAATTTTTTTTTAAAGCATTTAGAGAAAAGTCAGAACTCATAGTCAAATTCATATCTTTGAACTTTATGTTCGATATATAGAGACAATTTAAGGATATCCTGTTCCATCATGTGAGCCATACACCCACTTGGGCAGTAATCTAGATAAAGATGGGGGAACTGATAAAAGATATTAACAAAGAACACAAAAGACAAGAGGAGTTTTTATAGCACTAGGAAATTTGTTAAAATCAACAGTAATTAAAACAAATACCAAACCTAAAATGTTTAATTCCAGTGTCAATCATTACTGCTGTATGGTAACGTGGAAAACAAATGAAATAATTGTTAATAAACCACAAACATTAATTCACTAGTATATCTGCAGAATCGAGAAAAAAAAAAATAAATGGTATGATAGAATCAGTAATGTTGACATTTGGCAGCGAACTAAACTAATTCTACGCTACTGCCAAAAAATGTGTATGAGTCCACATCTTAGAGTTACATACCATTAGCTGATATACATTTTGTGTAATTACTCTATTATTGTTAGGAATCACATTGAGACTGATACTTAAATTGAAACTGTGTTGGCTGCTGAAGATGGGAAACGGGTGCTTACGGAAATCTCGAACATAGTGAAAAATAGCGCTCGCTGCACTCTTACTCTGCTGCTGTGAACGCTACCAGTTACTATTGCTGCAATACTAGCTGCGCACGATTTTTCTGAACAGTAAATCGACGAGGAGGAAAACATCACGTGATACCCTCTACAGTGTAACCATTACGTGCTAATGCTCACAGGAAAGATTTGATCAGGCCTCGTCCCTACTAGGATGTGCCTTTCAATGAATGTTATTAAATTAACTGATACTCTTACTAATAGTGATTAAATAACATAATTAATTAAAATATTTTCAGACACAGTGGGCCCGCAACAAAGGGAAATGTGGGGTCTGTGGGGATCCCCATCACCACACAACCAAGGATCATGAGGTGGGAGGGAAATACGCCAACGGAATCATTTCCCGCCAGTATACGCAGGGTGACGTCATAGAGGTTACAGTTCACATCACAGCCAACCACAAGGTGAGATTTAGGTTTTGTTACTGTGTTGTCGGTCTTTCATTCTTTTACTATATTTATTATTTGATTCCTCTGTTCCTGTATGGGCTGCAGGGCCTCATGGAAGGAGGAGGAGAAGGGTGAGGGGGTAAACAGATCCAATGTTCATCTAACAAACTAGTCGTAAAGGGCGATATAGCGTTTTGCTGATATCGGGTATGTTGGGTCGAAAGGCGAAGATACGATAGCCTAGCTGTAAACCACAACATAACGTGCCAACCCGCCATTTTAAGGATAAACGCAGGAGCAGAAAAAGACTCTTCCATTTTGTCTCTTATTCTTTTATGAAGTTTAGTCTTCCCCCATCTGACCTTTCTTTCTTTCTTTCTTTCTTTCTTTCTTTCTTTCTTTCTTTCTTTCTTTCTTTCTTTCTTTCTTTCTTTCTTTCTTTCTTTCTTTCTTTCTTTCTTTCTTTCTTTCTTTCTTTCTTTCTTTCTTTCTTTCTTTCTTTCTTTCTTTCTTTCTTTCTTTCTTTCTTTCTTTCTTTCTTTCTTTCTTTCTTTCTTTCTTTCTTTCTTTCTTTCTTTCTTTCTTCATTATTTTTTCGTCCACTATTCACCTTTGCTATGATCCCCCATGCACTGCGTCTACCTCTCAATACAGAGCCATTTGTATAAATAATCACATCACCTCGGCGGAAACTCTCACGAATCGTTTGTTAAACTTCTGATTGACAGCACCAGCTGGTCAGTCACTGCAATCACGACCTAGAGTGATTAGAACCCTACACAAGTCTGATTGACAGCACCAGCTGGTCAGTCACTGCAATCACGACCTAGAGTGATTAGAACCCTACACAAGTCTGATTGACAGCACCAGCTGGTCAGTCACTGCACTCACGACCTAAAGTAATTAGAACCCTACACAAGTCTGATTGACAGCACCAGCTGGTCAGTCCCTGCACTCACGACCTAGAGTGATTAGAACCATACACAAGTCTTATGGACAGAACCAGCTGGTCAGTCCCTGCACTCACGACCTAAAGTAATTAGAACCCTACACAAGTCTGATTGACAGCACCAGCTGGTCAGTCACTGCACTCACGACCTAAAGTAATTAGAACCCTACACAAGTCTGATGGACAGAACCAGCTGGTCAGTCCCTGCAATCACGACCTAAAGTGATTAGAACCCTACACAAGTCGGATTCTTGCTCAGACACTTTAACGCATTCCTATCCTCACCTAAATTTATCAAGTCTGCACATTTCTAATTGTGTCTAAAGCTTGCGCCATCCAAGACTTTCCTCTTTTAAGTCTGTGCACAACCGGCTCCAGCTGACGGGCCGTGCTGATGACGTCACCGGGTCGGGCTAACGATGCGTTAACGCAGCGGTTCTCAACAAGAAATAAGCTTTTTTCGACAGTGGTGATGAAAGACAACTTAAATTTCAGCTTTAACTTAGCTACATGCTTTTAAATATTCCACAATTTTGTGCCGACTTTTCTTGATTATTGCCGCAGCCTCCCTGGCATACGCGCACGGCACCCCCGCGTGCCTGGGCACCCGGTTTGAGAATCACTGCGTTAACGCATCGTTAACCCGACCCGGTGACATCAGCAGCACGGCCCGTCAGCTGGAGCCGGTCGTGGTCTGTATGGCTTCTTGCAGGAGGTGCTTCTTGTCTGTAGCTACTCTGGGATTTGGCTTTGCTTGCAGAACTTTGAGCCTCTGCAATAGTAGGCAATGCAAGTATATATCGCATACAAACTACCGGAGTATCTCTTGTGCATCCCAGAATTACTCTCATGGCTTCATTCTGTATGCGTTCGAGTTAATCACCGACAGGATCACATGCTGGAACATTGTGAACAGCCTTGTTTGTTCCATGTTCATTGCTGCCATAATCTTGAAAGCATTGAGTCCTTTTTTGGCATTCTACGGCAGCTGTCTCCATATGATCCCTGAAAAACAGGCTTCCATCGAAAGTGATATCCGGGTACCTCAAGTTTGTTTTCTTTTCTTTTTTGATGTTTCTGTCATTAACTGTGAGGCTTGAAACATTAGCTCTTACAATTCTTTTGTCCAGAGAGCATAAAAAATTCAGCCACCGTTTCTGAGTTGACTTAGATTAAACAGACAGGTAGTCATTGACTAAGTTAAATATGCATAGACACAAATAGATATTCATAGATATCCATATATATATATATATATATATATATATATATATATATATATATATATATATATATAGAAGAGAGAGAGAGAGAGAGAGAGAGAGAGAGAGAGAGAGAGAGAGAGAGACATACAGCTAGAAGTAGATATCCATGTTAGAAAAACAGACAGGCATCCATACAGACAAATAAATATACACATAGATAAACACGAACTGTCCTCTTTCTATTCCCAGGGATATTTTGAGTTTCGGATCTGCCCGGTTGCTGACCCCAAGGTCGAGGTCACCCAGGAGTGTTTGGATCAGCATGTCCTGGAAATGGTCAATGGAGAAGGCACAAGGTCAGAGACAGTAAATACTACATTGAAGGGTGGGGGATGGGGGTTCTCAGACAAAGAGCTTTTAAGGCCTTTAGCCTCGTTTGAGTGGATACTACATTGTTTTTTTTGTCTTGTAGTTTTTTTTACAGAATCAGCCCCTGCATGTGTTGGTTGTTTCACTTTACTATGTAAATTTAATTTCATTAGCTTGCTATTGTTTTAAAATGGTGGGCTGTCGATACCATTGTCGAAATCCACACAGGGCGATCTACTGTCAAATCTGCCGGCAGCTGGAGTGGAACCGGGTTTTTAAGAATTATAAAGCTCGTTCGCAACGCCCAAACCACAGACACCGGACAAGAACATGGGAATGATAATAATCTACTGAATGACATTTACATAGAAGGCGGGGGCCTGAAGTGGTCTGAGTCCTGATCTACCTACGTGTGATATGTGTAGTGATCAGGGAGTTTCCCTCGCCTAAACGTAGGCGTGGTCTTCTATGTATGTTATGTTAGTAACAACCCTCTATACCACGCTTACGTTTAAGCCAACTCCCTGATCACTGCGTTCATTCATGTTTTAAATAGCATCTTCCTGCGAGGTGAACTTTCCTCTAGAAAAGACCTTTAAGTAAAGAACATTTGTGAAACATTGAATAGAATGGGATATACGATACTCGCTCCATATTTCCATTCAACAGCCAGATTCGCTGAGCGATGTCACTGATAGCAGGGCGGCGGAATTGACTTTCAAGAACATGTCGTTGTACCCATTTTATATATATTTATTTTTATATTCCGCTTAGGGGGAGATTTGAACGCATGTTTATCACGTCGACATCCAAGTAATTTGCCTCAGCTCTACTTAAGAGGCCAGCGGATTTGCACATAAAAAGAGGGAGGGATGTATTTAGAAAGTAATAACGAATAATAAAGATAGAAACATGTCCCTTTGCATACTTCAAATGTGAAATGCCTGTATTCTTGTACGAAACGGCAATTCAGTCCAGCAAAAAAAAAAAAAAAAAAAAGAAGAGGTGTAGAAATCTGTTAAAATGAAGCCAAGGACAATGTGCGTTACAAACTGTGAATTGTTGAAAAGCTTCTTGTAAAGAAAAAAGAACATTTGATGAACTTTCATAAACGTGTGTGTGTGTTGTGCATGAAAGTTGTGCAAATGACAGGAGTACTGTCAGTCACTGGGTTAAGAGAGTTGAAGCTTCAGAACGTTGTGAGCAGATGTGAGGGTGCTATTAATGCTGTGAAGAAAAGTCAACTTGAACAGTGAAACCCCGAAACAAGCAAGGAACACGCGCCTTCGTTGGCTCTGGCGTTAGTTCATAGACGAGTGGAGGAAGATTAATCAGAAAATTAGGATGTGTAAAGGACATTTTAAGCAGCACTGCGAGCGAATTTCATATATTTGGCACAAATAGCTGGTGAGAAAAAAAAGGTGGAAGCATTACTTTCTGAATTTCTGTTTTGTAATTTTGATACTTCACCGATAGTCTCTTCGTTGGCCAACATCTTGACGAAAATGATGGTTTTGAGATTATGGTGTGTCAAGTCAGGGGTATACCAGTGTATGACCTGGGAGTGCAGCTTGGTGAGGCAGGCTGATGCTGCCTTCGACGTCACGTTATGAGACACTGTAGTCAACTTCTAATGAGAACAATCAGCAGAGATACCCGTGGGTGCAGCTGCGTTGAAGGACAAAGCGGGTATGGGAATGTCCCGTGTACAGTGTCGTCGTTTATGGTAACTTAGCATAGCAACAATTAAAAATCGAGCATTCCTGTTTCTTTTTGAAATGGCTACAGTGCAACGTTCTAAAATCTGAGTATCTTCTTGCAGGTATCACCTCCCAGAAGGCAAGTCCAACCAGTTCTTCAACGTCTCGCTGCAACTTCCGGCAGATGTGACATGTAAGCAGTGCGTCATTCAGTGGAAATACAGAACAGGTGTGTAAATGTGTAAACATCATCATCATCATCATCATCAATCATCATTACTGTGATCATCAGCATCAAATCCTAGTCAAATGGTTTAGATTTTCTGGATTCTACACAGTTTGCTATCCTCAACGTATTCTTGCCATGTGGCTTTGGAAGTAATGTCTATCCACAACCTTCTGTCTCGTGTAGTTTCAATCAAACCTGACACCGGTGACCTTCCATGCCGTGATGTCAAACTGATCGGCATCTCCTCACTCGATTTCCCTCTGCCTTGTTTTCCCTTTAACTTTCCCACCTTCATGATGTAACTCAGTTTTCCCCCTCTTGTGACATGACCACGATTGTCTCCCCCTGATGTGAGCAGTCAGTTCTCTTCGTGAGTCCGTTTCTTTCATTTTTCTTTTTATCTGTCCAGAATATTCTCATAATTCGTATATAAAACCACATCTCCACCGCTTCCACGTAACATTTTTCTCCAATGGTCCAACTGTGCATGATTCACTTCTTTATATTAAGATAGGATTGATTTAGCTCCTGGGAATTCCTTCTCGTCTGAATTGACAAATAAAGATTGCATAGAATATGTTGTATCTGTCCTTTGTACCATGTACTTCACTACTAGTCTATCCTTTGTATCACGTACTTAAATGCTAGTACTGTCCTGTTTGCCAAGTACTTCAGTGCTAGTACTGTCCTGTTTACCAAGTACTTCAATGCTAGTACTGTCCTCAGCAACATATATAAATGAGTGTGCTGTCACCTTTCTCTCCTTCCCAGTCCCATCCTCCCACCAGAGGGCAGGTTACTTTCTAACCGTTAAATGACCCTTTCCCACGCTTTCAGGTTTACTGAGCATGTAATGCTATATTTTATACATCAATCGACACGCAGTGGCTGATGTTGTCAGCATCACGCTCACCGCCTTTACTTCACAGGAAGCTACCTGGTATCCATTTTCGTCGAGGTCTACCTAAGAGCCAGTGTCATTTTGGCAAAGCAGTCCAGCCCCGTTCGGAGGATTCGAACACAAGATCTTCGGATCCGCGGGCGAGCGTCTAGCCGCTACACCACGATGGCAGCCATCGGGCTGTCCAGACATAACTGTGTTGTACGGTTGAACAGAATTTCTGGAATTTGCTCAGGTTTGATTCTCATCCTTGAGGTGTCAATCGTGGGCAAAAATCTTGGAGCGGGAACAAAGACATTATCACGTTCTATCTTGTGATAAAATGAAGTTATGAATATTCTTCGATAACCCTCCTCCTCTATATGTCTTTCAATTAATATTTCCAGTTGTAACAAGGTGTTCCATGGTTTTTTTTTAATGTAATGTAAAAATGTACCACTGTAAGGTTTTTCTTTTTTCTAAGAAGATTTTAGTTGAAATATTGGTGTGTGTTTTTAAAAATAATATACCTTTCGGAAAAGAAAAGTAGGAACTGAAACAGAGCTGGTAATTGTAACAACTGAATCTCTTACAAGGAGATCAGCATGTCCTTTCCATAACGTCATTCTCGTCACGACAATCGTGAACATTTCTCTTTCTCTAGCCTACTCTCCAGCCCTGTGTGCTTTCATAGCCAGTGCATCTTCAATAGCTTGTATCCACTTTCGTGGAGATCTGCTTCTGCCTCTTTTTCCAGAAACTCTACCCTCCATCAACGTTCTCTCCAGGTAAACACAACGTTTAACAAAGTGATATATTTTCAGCTTCCGGGACAGGATGCTGTTTCTGAGCCAATTCTCCTCTATGCTCAGATCATTTGGGACGTCATTTTTTCTCCCACCCCTCCCCCACCCTTTTTTTTTAAGAATCCGTGGTATTTTAGGTATTTTTGCTGTATCATTTTACTTCAAAAAGCTCCCATTTCTATTCTGCAGCGACTAAGTAAGAGTCCGTGACTCAGCCATAATTTGCCAGGGCAAAGATGCATGGTCGCAAGTTTTAACTGGCTTACAGTTGCTGTGCCATGGGTTTTTCATACTGTTTTATCTCAGCATTGCTAAAGCGCCTTTTTCTGTTTTCTTTTGTGCATTCGCCATACTGAGCCTAAATATTCAAAATGTGTGATATTTTCGATCTCTTCATTATCAGTTTATCGACTATGGGGATATAATGTTTTAAAGTAAGAACCGAAGCAGAATAGGTATGTGTAGTCACTGAATCGGCCACAAAAATGTTAAAAAAAAAAAAAAAGTAAAATCACATCTTGAATTTGAAATTTGAAAATCACCAGGCACATACTGTGTTACCTAGTACCGGATGAGTTTATATTACTTTTGATTTGTTAGAAACTGTTAACAGTAATATGTTAATGATTTGTTAGAAACTGTTAACAGTAATATGTTAATGATTTGACTGTTCTTTTTGACAATTCAAGGCAACACATGGGATAAAGACGAAACTGGCAGATTCTGTGTTGGCTGCGGGCCACAAGAGGAGTTCTACAACTGTGCAGACGTCACCATTCACGCTAAAGACAGTAAACACGCTGAGAACCCTAAAAGGCAGTCGACCAAAGACACAGACAACCAGAAGAAGGAGAATGCTAACAGTGAAGCGAAACCCACTGGACAGACCATCGTCTTCTCTGATGAGGCGTTCAAAGATAAAATCACGGATTATGGGAAACAGAAAGTTCAGTTTCTTAAAAAACTGCATGCAAAGAAATATTCCCCATGGCAGGAACAGAACAAATCAAGCTCAATGGCTGACAAAGAAGTAGTTTCCACTGCACAGACCGGATATGGAATGAGGTTTGGTTACCTTGGTGATGATTACAGTAACTTCAACTTTGGGGTCAAGGCTTCACAGCCACCCGGGGTAACTTACAAGTGGAAATCAAACGATCTGAATAATCCAAAGGTTGAAGATGTGCAAAGTCGTTTCGGTTTTGTTAGTTCCAAAAAACGGGAGGATAACGGGAATGTTTGGCGTCATCAAACCAACGAGAACCAGCTAGAACAGGCAGGAAAGAGCGTCCTTAACTACGATGATTCAGAAAAGGACATTGGTCGCGCAAAGGACACGCAATATTACAAGAAAGACAGCGACGTTCAAAGCCAAGTTAAGAGTGACTCCCGTAGAGGTTCAGCGCCAGAAGGAATTGTTTCAGTGCCCGCGGAACCAGGTTCAGGACTTTCAACACCCACAACTTCTCACCCTAATCTGGACAAATCTGGGTCTGACCATAAAGCTTTAGACAAAGCAACTGTGAAATTACACGCCCAACTCAGAGAGATACTCCACAGTGTGAAAATTAATCCACAACAGAAGGACAGCTTCCTGAGACGATGGAAAATGTTGAGACTTCGGCAAATTGCGGCAAGGAAAGCTCTAAACTCACCTAGTTCATTCGGCTCCACTAATTCAAAACCACAGCTGCTGCCACAGTCCCAACAGTCAAAAATACTATCAAATAATCACGTTGACATAGATCAAGTTGAAAACGTGACACCGGCGTTAATACTAGCCACGTCTCCGTCACGTCAAGGAAAAGAATATAGAGCTGAAGGAGAAATTGATGTTTCTAATCATTATCAAGATTTAACTCCGGCAGCCAAATTTGCAGAGGCACATAAAATTGTCCAACAGAGCAGTAGTCGGCAGACCTACCTCAAACACAAACTTCCTTCATGGCTCGTCACAACACTCAAACTGAAATATCAAGATGGTAAAGGAAGTGGCGATAATAACAACAGCCATAACAACAAGGTGTTAACACATTCAGAAAATGGAATCAACAAAGCTTACCGCAATCAACACAAAGAGAATTCAGCTGGAAAATGGTACAATAAAAATCAGGGCAACCCTGTATCGGGCTTTTATAAATCACAAACAAATCTTCATTTTGAGTCAAACACTGATTTAGCACATAAGCGCAAAGACGCAGCCTCCGTTGATATGTCAAAATCGCAGAATGAATATGAAAATGCAGAAGCACACATATTTGAAAGGAATATTAAAGCTAAAGACGTCGAGGAAAAGCTGGATGACAACGAGGAATCAGTATATTTGGCTGACAAAAACAAAGAATCTGGCATTAGTGAAGACACGGAGTCCTTGGTTCGCTACATCGTCAAACTTCTACTTGCCAGGAAGCACGGCAATGTCCTGGATAAATCCGCCAGAAAGTCTCTAACTAATCAGTTTAATTCAAACCTGAAGACGTCCGAAAAACTCTCCGTTAGGTCAGATTTGAAAAACGAAACGAGTGGGTTTTTAAGACCTATATATGCAACAGATGGAAATAATTACAATATCAAGAAAGAGGAGGAAAATAGTCAAGACAAACAACATGCCGTTTTATATCCAAACAGACAAGAAGTCGCATCCACATTTGAATTCGATGATTCATCAAAGAGTTCTAAAATCGAGTATCCTTCAGTTCGGGCAGAGGTTCAGCCCTTCAATGGACTAGTTCTGGGTTCAGACTTCGCCAGCAACCAAGGTCATGCCAGCCACAATCAAGGTTTGGCCACTTACAGCCAAGGCCGTGCCAAGAGTGCTATACAAGCTAGTCCTAACTGGGAAACCGCGAAGTCTTACACTAAAGAGGATATGATGAAGAATCAAATAAAGAACTTGGGCTTTGGAAGAAATAACAATCGTCTCCAACAACAAACATCCTACGATGTCAGTTATGATAAACCATTTGGTAGCGCACATTATCAAACGCCAGTTGCACAAACTTCGTGGTTCAACTCTCAAGTTAATTCTGCGCCCGAAAATGCAATAGATTACCACCATATATGGAGTTCACGTGCTTTGAATCGCCAGGGTTACTATAACAACAAACAAGACATCGCACAGTCTCGTCTGCAATGCCGCTCTTTAGTGACATTGGGTGGTGGCATGGACCAATGGTGCACTGACAACTGCAACGCCAATTTCTGCCCTCCCTCCATGTGTGTTTGTATGGCCAGTTTGCCCACATCATCCGTCTATGCATCTGTGGAACACGCTTTACCGGCTCATTCAGGTCCTAATCAAATACAGCAACAGATGGGTGGA